CTCTTACCTTCGGGCCAGGGTTTGGGGGGGCCGCCCGGGGGCTGCCCAGGCATTCCGGGGGGAACTCCTGAGGGTCCGGGAGGGGGCATGTTTGGGCCTCCTATACCTGGGGGGGGACAGAGGGACGGGGTTGGACTGGGAGGGAAGCCAACGTGGAGCCCAGATGGGGCGTGGGTGGGACAGACAAACAGCACCCATGGGTGGGACAGACAAACACCACCCATGGGTGGGACAGACAAACAGCACCATGGGGGTACAGACAAACAGCACCCATAGGGGCACAGACAAACAGCACCATGGGGGCACAGACACAGACACCCCCAGCCCAACAAAGCGCAAACCCCGACCTGGGGGCACCCGATGCCCCAGATGAGCCCAGCTGGGTGAGACGCCCCCCCGCCACCCCCTGAGGCCCCCCGGCGCAGGACGGAGCCCCCCGCCGCCCCCCCACCACCCCCCCGCTCACCATGAGGTCTGTTGTAGCTGGGGGCCGTGGGTCCCGGCCCAGGCCCCTGCACGGCTCCCTGCACGGCTCCCGCCCCGGACACGGAGGGAGGAGGTAGAGTCGGCATCTGCTGCTGCATGGCGCCCATGGGCCGCTTGCCCTGCACGGCCATCTGCAGGTGGTCTGGCAGCGGCTGCCCGCGCGCCAGCATCTTGTAGGCCATGATCTGCGCCCGCAGCTGGTGCAGCTGGTTCTGGTTGAAGGGAGTCGGGCCGCGGTTCTGCTGCCCCAGGGCCTGCGGGTCGGCGCCGTCCATGGGAACGCTGCCAGGGCCCGACGGGAGCTGCGGGCCGGAGGAAGGGCCGTTGGCCGGCACCGGGCTGGAGGCGTGCTCCGAACCGCCGAGCGGGGAGGGGTAACCTGGGGGGAGAGAGCCGCTCGCGCAGGGGCCGCAACACAGAGCCGGGCCGGCCTGCGCTCCTGTGACCTGCAAGGACCTTCCCCATTCACCTCATTGACCTGCGACCTTTAAGGACCCTTCCAACCTGTTTAGTGGCTCTGTGACCTGCAAGGACCTTCCCAATTCACCTCATTGACCTGCGACCTTTAAGGACCCTTCCAAGCCCTTTAGTGGTTCTGTGACCTGCAAGGACCTTCCCCATTCACCTCATGGACCGGTGACTTTAAGGACCCTTCCAACCTGTTGAGTGGTTCTGTGACCTGCAAGGACCTTCCCCATTCACCTCATTGACCTGCGACCTTTAAGGACCCTTCCAACCCATTCAGTGATTCTGTGACCTGCAAGGACCTTCCCAATTCACCTCATCATCCTGCGACCTTTAAAGACCCTTCCAACTCAACCTATGCTACGGTTCTGCGATCTTTAAGGACCCTTCCAATCCATTTATTGGTTCTGTGACCTTTAAGGACCTTCCCAATTCATCATTTTAGCACCTTTAAGGACCCTTCCAACTCAACCTGTGCTGCGATCCTTAAGGACCCTTTGAACCCATTCAGTACTTTAACAACCCTTCCAACCCACTCTGTGGTTCTCCAGCCTTCAAGGACCTTCCCAACCCATTTCACCATCCTGTGATCTTCCAGGACCCCCCAACCCATCCCACAGTCCTTCCACCCCTAAGGTCGCTCCCAACCCCACCACCCCGTGGTTCCGTGACCTTTCAGGACCCTTCCGACCCGACCCATCCCACACCCCCAGGAGCCACCCAGGCTCCAGAAGGCCGCCATGCTGTTGGCAGCACCGTCCCCAGGACGAAGCCCCGCTCTGCCCAAAGCTTTCGGCTCCATTCGGCGGCGGGAGGCACCGACCTTGCGAGTGCTGGTCCATGGGGCTCGGCGGAGGCCCCATCCCCGCGTGGGCGCCGGGCCGCATCCCCATGCCCTTCATCTGCCCGTACCGGGGGTCCTCGGCCATTCCCTTCTCGTGCATCGAGTCCATGGGCTGCGGGGGGAGCAGAGCTCACTTCTGTGCCACCCCCCCAGGGCTGCGTCCCCTCGTCACCCGCGTAGGGTGGGCAGGGGCGCCATGGTGGAGGCGCTGGTGACCATGGGGAACCCATTGGGGGGGTCCTCATCCAGCACCCAGGGCACGTGTTGGTCACCCCCCTATGGGGACAACATTGTGGGGTCCTCACCCCCAGCACCCCACACTTTTTGGTCACCCCCCTATGGGGAAACCATTGGGGGGGTCTTCAGCTTAAGCACCCAACGCATGCGTTGGTCATCCTCCAATGGGGAACCCGCTTTGGGGTCCTCACCCCCAGCACCCAACACGTGTTGGTCACCCCCCTATGGGGAACCCACTTTTGGGGTCCTCGCCCGCAGCACCCAATGTAGGCGCTGGTCGTCTTCCAACAGGGGCCCCTCTCTATGGGGCGCCCAGCTGTGGCTGCTCACCTTGTGCATCTGGTGCATGTTGTCCTGAGCGTAGGCACCGGGACCCTGGGGGGGCAGTGGGTGCCCGGCGTTGGGGGGCCCGGGGCTGGGTCCCATCATGCTGTGCGCGGAGCCGGGCGAGGGGCCGGGGCTGGGGCCCAACATGGCGCCCGGCGAGGGGCCCGGGCCTGGGGAGGGGCCCGGCCGAGGGGTTCCGCCCAGCGGGGGGTCCGGGGTCGACATCGTCAGCGTGGGAACTGCGGGGGTCCTGGGGGGAGAGGAAAGGGAAGGGAAGGGAGAAGAAGGGAAGGAAGAAGGGAAGGGAGAATCCCACAGGAGCTGGGGGGCTGTGGGTGCCAACAGCAGCCTGAGGTGGCCAGCAGGAGAACAAGATGGCCACCGCAAGGCCAAGATGGCAACCATGAGGCCAAAGTGGCAGCTAGGAAGGGCAAGATGGCCGCCACAAGGCTAAGATGGCTACCATGAGGCCAAGATGGCCAGCAGGTGGCCAAGATGTCTACTGTGAGGCCAAGATGGCAACCACGACGCCAAGGTGGCCAGCAGGAGGCCAAGGTGGCAACTAGGAAGGCCAAGATGGCCGCCATGAGGCCAAGATGGCAACCGTGAGGCCAAGATGGCCACAAGGAAGGGCAAGATGGCAACTGTGAGGCCAAGATGGCCGCCCTACTTCGGCCCCACAACGCTCTCCACCACCCACAGCCACCACTGAGTGCCCCACCAGAATGAGCAGGATGGATGGGTTCTCACCCTGCCTCGTTTGCATACAATTAGCACGCAATTAGCGCAATTAGCGTTAATTTGGGGCAACGCTGGCAGAGGGGGCTGAGCTGCCGCGGCGCCGCCTGCAGGGCTGTGGGGCTCCGGAAGCATCGAGGGATGCAGCAACGCAGCCTGGAGCCCCAAAGACCCCAAAGGCCAACATGGCGGCCCCGAAACACCAAGAATTGCCCCAAAACCCAACAGGGGACCCCAAAAACGCCACGAGTTCCCCCAACCCACAACACCCCAAAACCCCCCACACTGACCCCAAACCGGGACCCGCTGCCCCAAACCTGACGCGTTGCCCCCCAAACCACCCCACGCTTCCCCCAAACCCGCCGCCTTTGCCCCCCCGGCGGGGCGGGGGGGGGGGGGGGGGGGGGGGGGGGGGGGG